GCTGAAGGCAGACGTGGTGACAGTAGAAAATAGACTCACCAGATCTATCCCACTCTCTGACCCCTCCCACACCTGTGTCCAATGTAAAGACAAAAGTTAATAAGATCGGAGATAGGGGTGGCGCAGGTGGCTGGTGCGACCAACACTCGATACGCGTACTGACAGTACGCCTCGCCAGCTAGGCTCCCACCTGGGGCGCCATAAAGGTTACATTAAGAAGGAGCCATTGAGTCTGAATCTCAGCCCGCAGTAAGCCACTCCACTCAACAAGACACACACTGGGCTGATTGCGGTATCCGAGTTATCCCGTCAGTTGGCAACCCTTAAAGCCACGGCTTCAAACGCATCAGATTGTTTTTATTGAGGAAAGAAGTGCTTTGAGGGTTAACCCTACTCTCTTCCCCACCGCTAACAATAGGCCACCGCCTAGCTGATCGGTCGCCTGAGGTTGGATGGGCGCAGTGCAAAAAAGGAAAACAATCCGGAAGTGAACGTTGTAGAGTACGTTGTGCAAGGAAAGGGGACCAATCCGCATAGCCAGTCACAGATAAAGGTGTTATTTCAGCGAACAAATAGTCTCCTTCTATACGGCTACAATGTATCATGAAGATATGAACCCATGGTCACTGGTTAAGGGCAAATGAGAGCGGGCGGATATATGGGACCAAGGTTCTATATGTATTACATCTCGGGGTTATATGGGGACTCGTCGTATGAGAGCATGACATCCCAGAGAAGAAGATATATCAAGGACTTGCGTAGTCTCTAACTCACCATCAGCGAAGCAACTGGCCATCAGGCCAGTTTATCATCCGCATTTGGAAGCGGAATCGAAATCGAGGGTACTTACGCTCATGCGACGTACATTATGTAGGCAGGTTGCATCCTCAAAACCCCCGAACTCCCACTAACTGTTAACGTTAGATGACGCTAGCATCTCGTTAGTTTAATAAAAATTCAATTCTAAGTTCCTTGTGATTTTTTTTTATTTCCGGTCACCATATGATGGCATAACACTTCTCTGTAACATTACACCTGATAGCTTTAACTGCCCCCTGTGAACTAAAGAGGTTATACAACTGTAGAATACATGAAACGATGTCAAACCCCATTGCTATATTCCGTTTGTTCCGTGTACCACACGATGGAAATCGTCGAAACCCACATGGACCCATCAGAAGAGTCAAGTTGTTGTCCTGCCAAATCGCAGCACTTCTCAACGACAGACAATCGGCAAGAAACCTTAAATGCGGCTTACTTTGACACCTCATTCAGGATGAGTTGACGTACAGGTTCAAAAATAAAAAGACCAATCAGACTATTGTTTCATCAGGCAGCCAGTCTTCAGAGACAAAAATGCCTCCTGTATCGGATACAGTCGATAATAAGGGACCACATGGTCGCCTATTTTAATACCCCCGAGGCATCTGGAGTGGTCTCAGTAATTGTAGCAGCGCGTCCTCAAACCAACATTGAACAGAACCTATTATCTTTCATCAAAATCTATCTATTATTAAACGCTATGACGGCTGTAATTTCTTTTTAATCAGAATGCCAAATCAAGCGTTTAACTGTTCTTAAACATTGTTGACTTTGGGTGAGCCTTTTGTGCACGTCTGTGGGAATTAAACAGATGGCAAAGGACGCTGTCTACACAGCTGTCCGGTTCATTTTCTGGATGAAAACAAAAATGGCGAAGAGAGAGCAAACACTCTGCGTGAAAAAAGAAACTTGGCTTTAGGAGAGCGGAGGGGGACGGGATCGGAGTACTAGCAGAGAATTCTACTGACTGAAACAATCACGTCCTACTACTAATACTGCCGCCAGAAAGTCTATGTGATGCAATTACTGCGAGTTCGATTCGGCAGTGGGCCAGCTCGCATAAGCTGTCCAAACTGTCCCTGTCTAAGGCAAGCACAAATGTCTGATTAAAACAAACCCTTCGAATGAGAGCTGACAGACTACGACAACGACTACCCAATCGGAGAGTTAAAAAAACGTACATTGTGAATATTATGGCTGAAATGGACTGGAATGCGTTTAGCCTTCTTGAACAGACTGTCAAGCATACGTCATGGTCAATTTCTCATTAAATGTTAAACGAAATCCGAAATGCCTTTTGCTGATGGAAAGGCACGCTTAAGTGTGGTTGTCATAGCATTCATCATGTAGCAGATTGCAATAATTGTTTCAGACAAAGCATAAGACAAGCTTCCAAATGCATTTCCTTTCTGTCACCTGCAAATACCCCACTCAGTATTTAAAAAGATTAGCATTTAAGCAGTGTGCAATTCGCTTATAGAAAAAAATGTCGAAAATAGTATTTCTTCAACCTCGTTTGATAGCCAAGCACACCTTCAAAATTAGAAGACGTATATGTACAGTAGACGCCGTTGGTCATGCAATATTTCGACATAAGCGAAAGACTAATACCCTTTCACTAATCGGAATTGACTCCAGTTGTGATACTGATTATCGTGTAGTGTACTCTGGGTCATTTCAGTCAGGATAGGAAGCCGGCTTTTTAACGAGCTTCGTTTCGACTCCCCATGATAGGATGCGGGCTTTTTAATGAGCTTCGTTCTGACCACTAGCAAAACCCAGGATAGGATGCCGGCTTTTTAACGAGCTTCGTTTCGACTCCTAGCAAAACGCCCAGTTGTGATACTGATTATCGTGTAGTCTATTCTGAAGTCATTTCAGTCAGGATTTGTGATACTGATTATCGTGTAGTCTATTCTGAAGTCATTTCAGTCAGTATAGGTTGTTGGTTTTTAAACGAGCTTCGTTCTGACCACTAGCAAAACGTATCTATTGAAGGTTCGTTTCGACTCCTAGCAAAACGTATCTATTGCAAAAACTGACTACTTAAGTAGTATG